CCGAGTATGCGGTTAAAGCTTCATGCAAACTAATCATTGGGCCTTACCTTAGTTTCAACATACCATCCCTGGGCGCCTTTTGGCGAATAGTGCTACCTCGTCATTGAGGTTTATTTAGGAAATTATTGTTATTTTCTTGATAATGCGTAGCATAGACTTACGCAGAGCAATGGAGCAATACCAACGACACTACTACACTACTACACTACTATCCAATAAACTCATATGAATCACTGCCCTAGAAATGACATGCTGACGGTGATGTCATGGTGCTTGTAGCTAACTTCCCTCCCGGTCAAATATCATCTCACAATCTCCTAGCTAGGTTTGAAATCACCTTGCCGATACACAATCCGAGATGGTGTGAGAAAAGCGTCCTGATATGATGCGACAGGGGCTACACTGGAGTTGCATATGTGCATACATGATCACAACCAGTCTCATGACTCTCTTTTTTTGGTTTTACTCGTAATTCATATCGACACGAGAAGATTACAGGATAAGCCGAAGAAAATTTCAGGAAATATAATAAACAACATACCCATTCATTGGTTCTTGAATCTTCCTCGAGGAGGTCTGGTGGTACATACTAAAAGTTGTCAAGGGGTACGTAAGCGGTAGGATAAAATGGGGAGAATAATACTACCTCGAGTGCGTATCTGAGATCTTAATATGGGACGAACAATTTGAAGAACTTATTATGTATGTACGTGACCGTGTGTGGTCGAATGACTGATCGCGCGCAGATGTTGGTTCAACCAGGGGTGCTTGATGGGCTGGACCGCCTGGAGCAAGGATCAGAGATTATTTGGGGTTAGAAGGCCGTAATATGGACCATACATACTACTCTCTTGAAAGCTGATCCTATTTCTCTCTTGGATCTCCTTGATTGTCGTTGAATCCCGAGATGTAACTAGATCTCAAGAATCTACCACAACTTCCGCGTGCCTTTAACCATAACGGTTGACAATCGTGTTTATTCATAAAATATTCAGCTTGTATAAAATTAGTTGCGGTTCAAAATCAAGGCGTGTTGCAAGTGTAGCCGGAATGCAGGAAGAAATATGTGGTTCCTATCCTGATCCCGTATTCCTGCAGACTGCAGACTCTCGCGGCTCTATCTGTACAATTTGTCCCGCTTCAGCCGTCGTTAGTTCACGGTGAAGAGTACCGAGACAAGCTGCAGTGCAACGTTATACCTAATTACTACATGTTATGTACGCTACATCGTGCGTGACAGCTGTATCCCGAACTTCATTGTAACCCTAGCTCTGCTGAGCAGCACCAGTCTACAGAAATTATACCCAACTGCTATACAGTCTTGGCACTTGCATGTCCCGGTCATCAGGCCGCTCCCGTGGGTATATGATCGCCGATACTGGAACAGCTACTCCGTCATGGAGTTTGCTGGGCTGAAAAGTCGGGTTCTGCAAGGCTCTATCTTGGCAAGGTGTCTATCACGATGCATTCGTTCCGAGTTTGCCTGGAAGTGGGACAATAGCCAGGTCTAGGACCGGATATATACAGTAGTATATCTACCGGGCTTTAGTTTACCAGGTAAGCCATTTCAGCTGTATTCATTCTCGTGCTTAGTGCTGATCAAGAACCACGACTATAAGATTCATCCACTTTTCTAGACTCGCTCTCACCCAGTTCCCCGAATCATAAACGCGGTCACGCCCCAGGAACCGGGCAGAGACCGTTACATTCTCTAATCTGACGGTCCAATGCTTCCGCAAAGCCGGTCATCCATGACTATAGTTCCCGTCTACCCATTGGCTCGGTATTGCGGGTGCATCCCACCTGCTTAATAACGACCACGTAGGGACGAGAGCGTGATTCCACTATTGGATATATTCTCACCTGTGGATACAAATACTACCTGATGCCGAAGAACCAATGCAGTCGAGACAGACGTGTTGAGAAGGGATAAGCTACGCGAGCAAAGTATCCTTGACACTGACATGAAAACAGAAGTAAAAGTATATTTGACGTCGCTTGACCCCTGGAGAATCTTACGGTGACACTCGATCATCCTTGTTGACGGAACTTTAAGCATAAGCGAATCTGGGGTGGAAGTGTGTGGTATGTCATGCTTGAGCTTATTTCCTCGTGAGGAACCGTCCTCGGCTTGTTAAGCGGTAGCTCAGCTTTGGGGGGATGGTTTGTATATTAAGGGGCAATGTAAGCCGCGGGCCTAGGGTTTGACGGCAGCCTATTGCGCACCTGATACCAGCTAGACAACCCAAAGGACGGAGAGAGAAATAGGAAACCCTTTCAAGACCTCTCCTAGAAGACAAGATGGTATCTACTTGGAGACTCGTCGCTTCAGCTGCCGTCCTCTCAGGACTAGCTCTTGCCGACACCTGCTCTACCCTTCAGGAAATATCCAACATTGAGGTCACTGACCCTATTGATCTATCATATATCGATGAGCAAGATGACTACTGGTCTACCTCTTGTTCCGCTATGAAGCCTACTTGCATCATCTTCCCTAAAGATGCTGACGAGGTAGCCGCTATCGTAAAGGTTCTCAATAACAACACGGAGAACTTCGCCATCAAATCAGGGGGTCACAACCCTAACAACGGTTGGTCCAGTGTTCAGGGTGGCCCTCTCATCTCGACCCAGGGAATGAAGGAAGTTATACTGGACAGTGAGACGGGGATCGCTAGAGTCGGCCCCGGACAGCGGCTGGACAGCATAGCCGCCGCTCTACAAGGAACAGGCTGGACGTTTGTCGGCGGCCGAATCGGAAATACTGGCGTTGGCGGCTTGGTCCTCGGCGGCGGGCTCTCATACATGTCGGCACAGTACGGTTGGGCTGCTTCATCCGTGCTGGAGTACGAGATTGTACTTGCTAACGGTACCATTGCAACCGCATCCGCAACTCAGAATCCAGACCTGTTCAAGGCCCTTAAGGGGGGCGGTAATAACTTTGGCATCATAACCACATACGTCCTTCAAACCCATCCTCAGGGCGATATTTTCGGCGGTAACCTGGTCTTCCTCCATACCGATGAGACAGACGCCAAGTTGCTCAAAGCCGTCAGAGACTTCACTGAATACAACTTAGATGATAAGGCGGCTGTCATCGTGACAGCTGAGCGTGGCAATATTGATCTCATCGATACATGGATCCTCTTCCTCTTTTATGACGGAACAGAAGTCCCCGAGGGGACATTCAAGAACTTCACCGACGTCGGGCCTCTGCTCGACACTACCAAGGTTTCAACCTACGCCGACCTGATGGCTGGCAGCAACTGGGTCATTGTCAAGGGCTCCGTTGTGCAGATCGGAACCGAGACAATCCCCATGCCATCTGTCGAGAACAGCGAGACAGTCATGGGAGGCATTCATGCGCATTGGCGAAACATTACCGACACGACGCTTCTTGAACTCGGCATCGTCGCGTCCATCGCCTACCAGCCTTTTCCTAAAGCGATTGCCGAGGCCGCAAAGGCGAGAAGCCCCGATCTGATCGACGCCGATGACGCGGGTGACCGCTTGATTCTTGAGTTGAACTATAGCTTTATACCACAAACTGATTATGACAAGATGGATTTAACATTACAGCAGACTGTGAGTGGGTTTCGAAGTTATTTATTCCTATCACTACCCCCAAATCCACATGTGCGGTATACCTGTAGACAAGCACAACATTACGTACGGAGATTGGCATGCCTTGGAATCATCATTTCATTAAATCATCGCTCAAAACACAGAACTATCATTAGAATATACCAAGTGTAGCAATTACTTACTCCCTGACGTTACAGTACGGTGGGGTGCGCGACCGCGTCCTTGGGTGGCAGCAGGATGGAACGCTGCCAGATCTCTATCTCCCCATATTCATGAACTACGGGTTCCACCAGCAAGACTACTTCGCAAGGTTACGTCCTGAGAATCGAGCCTTCGCACATGCAGTTTCGGAGAGCGTGGATCCCACAGGTTTCTTCCGGACAAGAATAGGGGGCTGGAAACCATGATTGCTCTTCTGAGAATAATTCCGACTCAACCCTTCTCATCATATTCACCCCTTATTTTAACGTTTTACGTCTTTCATTCTAGGAGGACATAACTACTGTCTTAATATTTAACCCTAATGCTAAGATTACGCCTGATGAAGTAAGTGGTAATGTTCTGTCTCGCAACACGTCGACCTGCTTTATCATGAGGGCATATAAATATTGTGTACTCTTCAAATGTATTTTATCATCCAAAGTGATGCTTCAGTGCTCAATAATAATAATTAGATCTATACCACTTTACCACACTTTGCTATTATGGCTGAATACTATCAACAGGGCATTAATGGCAAAGCACCCCTGTAGTATATCAATGAATAGTGAATTAATTGTGCGGCCTTGGTTGGATATGGATGACTACATTTCCCGAGATTATCGTAGACAGGTATTTCGTCAAAGATGGATGTTGATATAATAGTTCTCGGGCCTACTCATATCATATAGACTTGGTGTAAATGAGATCAAACTTTTGGAAATGATATACCCCCAATTTTGATTTATTACTTACTTCTCTTAAGTTTCAAGTGTCCTCACTCCTTGGTTTAAAATTACTTTCGTGAAGCCCATGCATGGCAAATATCAAGGACTCTGAACAAAGGAAAGAGTAACGAAAAGAATCGGCACTCGAGTTAGGTCTACCATCTGAGTATTTCTGACCATCGATAACCATTATTAACAAGACAAGACAACATTCATTATACTAACTGCCTGACCTTAAAATAGTATTACCATCCACTTCTCTCCATCTCCTCATTAGCTATTGGGCGATACTTAGCCTATTCCTACATGAAGTCATAGATAGGGGTACTTGTTCATGGTCTACCCTCAAACTACGTGGGCATTGCTATTCCGTATAAGCTTCGCTTTAGACATTCAATGAGATAGGCTTAAACCACTAGAAGGTGTTAACAATGAGGAAGGATACATACATGAAGAGAAGTAATTAAAAACGGACCAAAAAAACAAAAAGAATGCGGTGGGTGTGGATCGAACACACGGCTTTCAGATAAGATGATTGAAGTTTCTATCTTCAGTCTGACACTCTCCCAACTGAGTTACCCCCGCGATGAAAAACCTTTTTTGAGATTTGATTTATGAACTGTCATGCTTGCCTGGGCGGTAGTTTCTCAGGTTATGGCTCTATCAAGAGCGAATTGTGGGTATTAAAAGTTACAGGAAGGAATGATTTCGTAGTAAGAGTACTTGATTTACAATACGATTTCTGTAGTAAAATATGTACCTTTCCTATAAGTCCATCATCAGGCTCTAGTTACCACATGGATTCGTGTTAATGTGATACCCACCTGCTCATTACCTTACCTCGCTTTTTACCATCGCCGAATTTTACTTAATCAACCCCTTAAATGATTTCTTCCATGATGCCTTCAACTGAAAGCTACATCCGGTAAGATAGGCAATAGGGTAGGGCACCTTACACTTCTACCTCGCAGAAGGATATGATGTCGGAGGAACTGCATAATACATTAACGCTTATTATTTTAAGGCCGTTATTATTTTCAGCATATGTAGTACACCAAGTATTTCGACAGAGGCCATTATGGCTAACATAGTGATACATGTCAAATACGTAGTAGTCCTTCTTTTAAGTCTTGTCCCTCAATAACCGTATCGATCCTCCATTCGCCGGGTATCCCACCTGTTCTCATCCTCTAACCCTTATCAGTTTCGTATTTAGGCATCACTTGTCGACCTTCAAGCTCCCGTCCAGCATATCCCGAATCCAGCTCCATAGGCCCCTGGCAGTCAAGCTCGTACCGCGGGTCCGTTCTGTATGAAGGAGTTCTGCTGCCGAATGTTCCGCCGGTCGACTCGTACGGCGACTGGAGATAGCCGGAGCTGGGTGACGCCGGGAGCTCCTTGCTCCAGTGTGCTCGCTGGCTCACTTGCTGTTGTGGGAGCTGTTGGCAGTTTTCCAGTGATTGTATCTTCTTCCGACGGTATCTCCGGAACAATATTAGAAGAGTGAGCAGGATGGCGATCAGACCCGCCACGCTGCCGACCACGACACCCGCAATGCCACCCCCTGAAAGTCCGGTGGTTGGTGTCTAGATTCCCCTGTTTAGTAAAATGCCGACAGCTTGGTAGAGGAACACTAGTCTCTTGAACTCACGTTATCATCTGATCCTACTTGAAAGCCATCAATGGGGTGCGCATAAGCTTGGTCATTCGTTGCCGACGCTACCCAGTCGACGGTGGCCGTAACACTCGCGCTGTTGTATGCCGTCACCTTGGCAGTCTGGCCAACTTGGAAGTTACTATAACATGTCCCTCCATACGCAGGTCGATTCGGGTCCACCGTTGTGTCTGGGGGATGGAGTAAGAAGCCACTATCATTCATATTAGTCTCGGTCAAATGAAGCATGACTGCCCATATTATACCCGCAGCCCATGTCATCTCTTACAGAAATATTCCTTCCGGCAAGACGTTCCCAGCGTGAAATGGTTACAAGATAAAAGTACTTTTGTTTCGGAATATAGAAACCCACTTACGAGGCGCAACATGCAATATATCCATTCGTCCATGTCTTCACAGTGTTCCAGCCTTGAGGGCAGACCAACGGGGAAAGCATAGGGGCCACGGAACTCGAAGCATTGTTTACCTATCGTCTGTTAATAACCTCCTCTAAAATTTGTATGTTTTTCCTGCACCATTCCAAGCTCGCTTCTATTCTGAGCGACGAAGAAGGCCATAGCAGTGTTATGAGAATGGAGTGATTCCGTTACATACTACCAATCCGTTAGCTTACACCTCAATTGCAAGATATCATCCATGACACCACACGCAGAGTGCCATACTGACCACTTGTATATCCGCCAATAAACTCAGACGGGTAGCAATCCGCAACCTTCGAACCCGGCACGGGTTGCGGCTCGTTCAGCCAGAGCTGATAGCCCGGCGACGCCAACTGCGTGAGGTGCATCTCCCCACATGATGCCGGCGGCGTGAACGTCGTCGTCAGGGGCTTCACAGTGAGCGTGAGGACCGAGAACGACGGCGCGGCCGTCGTGCTCGCGGCTGCCGACGAGGTCGCGCCTCCAACGACTGTCGAGCTTCCACTCATGGTTATGGCCAGGGGAACGCTAACAGAAGAATGTCGAATTCATCTAAGACAACTCCTGCGATAAAAGGGTAAAGGATTAACAAGCTCGCGCGAGAGTGGATGGGGAAAATCTAGTATCCATGGCTTCTCTTGGAAGGATCTGGCTGGCGCATCCTTTAGGTCATCATTGTACCTTTGTAGATAGCATTGAGGCGAACGCAGTACATTGATTGCGTCCTCGCAAGTTTCGATCAGGGCAAGGCGACCCCAACGTCACATCGCCAGTGGCGTCAGCCGCAAATAAGCTACAAAAGCAAGCGTCTTCCGTTGCGTCTGGGCCCATCATTCCCGAACCGCTCCTTCAGCTGAAAACTATGCCAGGTCCTTAGACTTTCGATCCTGTTTTGCTTCTTGTCCGGCCCCTGCATCGCCCTTTTTCCCATTCCATATTTGGTCGTGTTTCAGTTCCCTTATAGGAAGCTCGCCGCCCTTTGGCGTCGGGGATAGATATACAGTCAAACCTGGCCATAACGAATTAATAAAAACACGGGTTTGGATTCGTTATGCAAGGTATTCGTTATGGCCAGGTCTGACTGTAGTTAAGAACTCCCTACATGTGCAAGCATGACTGTACCATCGAATCGAGAATCGGGCCATATTTCAACCATATGCGTCCGGGACCTCAAGCCACGTGGTAGCGTAGAGGCCTATATACATATCTCACATAATCCAGTATATTTCACTACGATTACGAGGTCATGGCTTTTCACTGGCGATCGATATATTTCAACATACTCTTGGTTAACACAAAGTAGGATGTTTTCAATCTGACGATGTCTCTTTTTTTCATTACGAGGCGCTGTATATTGGTCCTTGGCGGGCCAATTGCCTTTGAGGAGTGAGAGTGAGACCGTTAGGATCTACAAAGGATACCCTCTCGTTTATGCGATGTCTCAGTAGTTATCCGATGCTTTCAGTTTTGTCGATAGATCAAGTCCACGCTGTGTTTCGATAGTGTCTTCGATACTATATCATGATGGTTCTATAGAATCGACTCGATTGTAAACAATCCGGGCTATTGAAGTCCTAAGGAGAAGGTTGATATCCTACGGATCTCCAACAAGCCTCTACTATAGCCTATACTTACAGACGAATCTACATTTCGCGAATCACCAAAAGGCTTGCTTTGCATTGCTTTGCAAGACAGAAACATCAATATAACTGACTAGGTTGCTTCTTAAAACTCGCTATTTAACATCAGTCAAATTTGAGGTATCACTGCAGCGATTCACAGAATCGTCATATCATGATTCGTTAAATCATGCCAGGCAAGCCGCGAGGCTCTTAGCCTAACGGCTTTTGTTCCATCCATAGTACCGTTTTATCCCATATTTCTCATAAATCAACATCAACTGACCATACTAAGACCTTCAACTCTCCACATTGTTGGTTAGCAAAGGGAAGCGCTCGAATGAGGCGGAATAGAAAAAAACAATCTGAGTGCGAAGCGACATGTGCAAACTAATGCAGCTCAAGCCTTTGAGGGTATCATCCTTTCGCCGCTTCTAGTCCATCACAGCCTTTCCCGTGTATCTCCCGGAACGAGAAACAAGCGACCAAAAAATGATTTCGTGAGACAGTGACCCATATTTCATTACATGCAAGTCTTACCTCATGTCAGAAGGGTATAGCGCTGCCGCCCGATAAATACGACCAAAGAAAACGAATCAAACAGACGGAAATAAGGGTTGGGACTGTAAGGCCTTGGCCAGATAGAAAGTTGCGCTCGACAATCTTTGCGATAGAGCAATTGGCAGTAATTCCATCTCCTTCGTCTTAAGCAGATCAGATTCCACTTCAACCAGACATATCTAGTAACCTGGGCCATCCATCGGAGCATTGAATGCGGGGTGGTCCATGGCCATGAATTCCAGCAAGTCAACACCTCCCACGTTAACTCCCTGGTCCGTCATTGTCACATTGGTGTTCTCTCCCACGGTTTGGAATAAGCCTGGACCAGGTGGGAGGTACCACATTTGATCATCAGTCCAGTCGCCTCCCGGTTCGAACATGCTATCGCTGAGATTGGACGTTTCTACAATATTACCACTCAGGGCTGGCGCGTTGGATCCGAAGACCGAAGCCGACCCAGTCGGATAGGGAAAGTTGCCTGTGGCAAGGTCGAAAGGTGTCGCCGACACATTACCAGACGGGGTAGACGAGCGCTCTTTAAGACGCATTAGCCTCATTTCAGGGGCACATAAGCTCAAAATCATAATGGAGAAAACTTACTAGGGACATGGAGTTCATCTCGAAATTTAGCATGACTCAGATATCCATTCTCGAGGCCGTTGGCTTGAATGTGTCCATTGGTGACGGTAGGCTTGCTCTCACCATTCGTACGAGGACTCTTACCTTCGCCGGAACTTGTCGCCGGTGCGTACTTGAAGCGGTCTCGGAGCCGTGTTGTCAAAGATTCGAGTAAATCACCGAACCTTGTACCTAGATGGATGTCATCGACAACGCAGTTTCGTAGCGCGTCCACCGTGCGATCCAAAAGGCTGATGCTCATTTCGACATCAGCCTTTGGCGCACCCAGGGCAAATGTCTTCAGCAAGAACATGGCCCCGCTGATGATGCGGAAGTAAGTCCGCACAGGAGCATGTTTTAGATACCCCTCTTTCAGTAGACCTTCGACAACTGTCCTCAGAAGGTTTCTGCACCCATCCACTACCTCCTTTACGTATTCCTGATCCTCATGGCCGAAGCCACCCAGATGACCAAGAGGCAAGTTGCCTAGATAATTCTGTGTCTGAGGCGACAGTTGTGGATTTCCGACAGGCAAACTACTGCCATGCGCGGCATTAGAGGACGCCCCGGCATTGACTGTGCAACGTTCAACAACTGCCTGTAAGGCTAAGGAGTTGACGTATATTCGCACGTATTCATATTCGATAGTTAATATGTGACGGATGTTCTCGGGCATGTCGAAACGTTGGAACT